TATATATATATATATATATATATATATATATATAATAGTGGTATGCAAAAAAGTGCCTGATCAGCTAAGTTTAAGTTATGTTTTTGTCTTGCTGGAGTAGATATTTTTATCTCATTGCTTCATTTACTAAAATTACATGAAATTATTCCAAGTATGAAATGTACAGGTATTTAATTATTTAGTTAAGCTAAATTCTCACAGTTTCTTCTTCTGTGGAAAAGGCTGTGTTTTTCTTACCAGGTGTAAGATTTGAGTAAGCTGAGATTTCCAGTGATGTTCTCATTTACTTCCGTAGGCTGAAAATTAATTTGCCCCATTGCTGTTGATTATAGTATGGCAGACACTTCAGTGACTTTCAGAGTGTGAGTCTGCAAGCTATGAATATTTATCCTGCTTTTATAAAGTTTATCATCTAAAATGATGTTCTCATCTACACTAAAATAGTGCCTATACCATTAGTACATGCCAGAAGATCCAAATAGAGCCACTCAACAGCAGAGATTAGAAAAGAGTAAGGAGCCAGTTACTAGTAAAAGACATGAATTCAATTCTTGATCCTATCTGGCCCCCTCTGCAGGCAGCTGATGGTCTTTGTCCATTGACTGAAGTAGCTTTTCATTAAACATGGAAAAGAATATTCACTCTTCAAGATAACGGAGGTCACTGCAGTGTAATTTGCATTTTTTAAATTAAATTTTAAGGGAAAGCTGTTTTTACTTTGGTTACACAGTGCACATTACACTTGCACTTTAATGCGCATTAGCCTATTTTAATGCACATTCAAGCATCACAAAAAGCCATGCTTTTTAGCTAATGTGCATTAAAATAGGCTCACTTGCCTTTTTCTAGTACCTCACAATGGAGAGTGCCTACACATTAGTAAGGAGGCTTATGTATAACCAGGGACAATTAATCGAGTCCGCTGGAGTGTGACATATACTACGCTCCAGCAGCCTCCTGCGTCTTGTGTATCAGCGTCCCTGCACTTCAAAATGGTGGCAGGCCTGCTTTATCTAAAGCTTGTTGGATGAGTTTTAGATAAAGAGCACCCCACCACCCACCCCCAAGAATATTGTGGTGATATCGTTACTTAGCCAACAGGAAGCTCAGCAACACCTATTTAAATTAAATGTCTTACAGTATTCTTTCCCATGGGAGTATGAACTCTTTCACTGATTATTCTCTTGAATGTGCTGTGCTTTCGTCACCCATCAAGACTCCACTGAAATCAATAGACAATGTTTATGTTCAGCAATATGACATCTGTTTTTTTCCTTGAGGTGTGTGGTAATAACAGCTAATTCAACATGAGCAAAATGAAGGGAAGCTTTCTTTTTTAAAAGGTGCAAGCTAAGTAAAGTTTCAACTAGTTTAGTCTGCTGGGAGTGCAGCTGGTTTCAGTCCTGCCTGCAGGAAGTTGAACTAGCTACCTCAGGTGAACCAAGTCTCAAGAAATTCCTAATGCCTGTCCAATTAAACTTATCATATCTAATTTCTGTAATCCATATGTTTTTAGATTACCTGGTAGTCTGCAAAGACTTTTTTTTCTGTTTGCTTGTCTCATTATTTTTATGCCTTTAAATACAGTCATTTTTTCTCTCTCACAACAGAGTGAGCCTAGTATTTTTACTAAGTACCAGACAAAACCACAGCTATTTGGTGGAGATGTAAAGGAAAAGGGTTCACTTAGTTTTGGTGCTGGAAAACTGAGAAGTGTTTTGGAGCAGTTTGAAATAAATAAGAAAAAAATAAAGGACAAACATAACAGGTATGCAAATGTTCTTTGAACATTATGACTGTGAAGGCAGTGCACATTCTCATCATAATAACCCCAGTAATAAAAAATAGTAACATGACCCAGCTGTTTATTCCTGCAAGGAAATAATCATTTCTGTCATAGATAATCTCCAGTCAGAAGGAATTACAGACTGAGAGAATGCGTTCTACTTAGAGCATAGGCTTACGTAACACTTCTATCCATAAACTACAAGGAACAGCAACAATTTCACTTCAATTTACCTTCACCCTCCTTTATCCTAGCCACAGATTCTGTTCCAGGCAGATCCCCTGGTAAGGCCCCTTTTTCTCCAGATTCAAAGGATTATGTTGTGTATAATCAAAGGGATCATTTTATCAGCATTTATATGTAAGATAAAGGAGGAGATTGCTAGGCAGATGTCTGTGCAACAGAGGAATATATTTGCATTCAGTTGCATCTTTAAAAGTATATACCTATCATGAACTCTGTTTACATGGAGGATGTGTGTGATGTGTCCTAATACATTTTTCAATGTTTAGTCTTTGCCTGAAAATCCTAGGGGGGTTCTTGAACAAGTAACAACTACAAGTGTGCAGGGTGGCATATTCTCCCATCAGCCAATACCTGCTTTTAGCTGTTTGCATTGATTTATAGAAATGCAAATATATGGGTATATATATATGTTGTATCATTATCTTTCTTCTGAAATATTGTATATGTCTCCAGTAATGCACAATTTGATGTTCTAGTGCCTATTATTTGAGAATAAGGATTAAACTAATGGAGATTCAGATATTTAATTTTAAATGTTTAGGCAAAATTCTAAATTCTGTTTTCATAGTTTCATAGTTATAAGGAGCTGGAAGGGATCTTACAGATCATTGGATCCAGCCCCCCTGCATTGGGCAGGAGAGACTACTGGGATCGGATGACCCCAGCAAGATGGGTGTCAAGACATCAGTGTCCCTGAGATGAAAAATGGAGGCAGGAGCGCTTTAAATACACTTTTTCGATGAGCTTTAATTAAAGTGCCCCTGCTGCCATTTTTCAGTGCAAGGATGCTGATACATGTGATGCTTTTGGCACTTTAATTAGAGCAGCTCTCAGGGATTAATGGTTGTTTGTGAATGCAAGGGATTCAGTGGCCCAAGAGGTCCCCTTAAATCCTGTATCCTTAAACCAAACCTTCACCCAATGAGTAAGCATCCTGAATAATGTGCTTCCAGAAAGTAAAGCTTGATCTCACTCAACCTAGCAGCAATATGTGGCCACCAAGCTCTTAAAAATAGAGGAAAGTTAGACTCCTGCTTAAAGAATATCACTGATTTAATATTTAGTCAAGTTATCTTATGACTAATGTCTTGCCTTGTAGAATGAAATGAACATATCTTGATTTTTTTTTATAAGCTCCAAAGAAAATCCTTTTTAAAGAGGCCATCTGCACAAAAGTATTACTCTGGGGCCTTCCCAGTGCAGGACAGTGTTTGCACAAGTTGTTTGACACCTTGAGACAGTGGTAAGAGTGGTAAATTGTACTTAAGCCTTCCCTTTATTGTAAATGGGTACCTGGTCACTAGCCTGGGAAGTCAAAGTTATGTGATGCCACATGACTCCCTTGTGTGCCTTAACCATGCTAGCCCATTGGCCTCTAGGCTCAGGTGGACCTTTGATTTTCCTTTTATTGCCTGGTTGCACAGTCCCAGCTTTCACTGCCTCAGCATCCAGAGTCTCCTATTCCTTTCCTCCTTGACTGTGGTTAGCTGTCAGGAGTTGACTTCCAAGTAGTAGTTTTTGGAAAAGAGAGTATATTCAGATAAATACAGAGTCTAAGTATTTTAGGGAGTGTTGCAAACTCTTGGTTCAAAGATGATACCTTTTAGTAGACGAACTAAGAAATCACAAAAACGTTATCTTTCTTTGCAAGCTTTCAGGCACGTGTGCCCTTCTTCAAGCTGAGGACAAATCCAAATCCAAAAATCCTCTTAGGTAGAAAATAAACTTTATTATGCACAGGGGAATGTTGAGGCTGGATGTCTGTTCACCTGGGTCTGTGAGAGTCCTTTGTGTGGGTTGCTCCTTGATGTGCAGATAAGGCTGGTCTCATCCCTGGAGGTGTCAGATGTCAGAAAGTCAGGGAGGCTCAAACAATCTTTCCTTCTTGTTCAACGGTGAAGTAGTGTGAAGTGAGTGCACTGTTGTGCTTATAGGTGATATCATCTCAGGACCTTTGTAAATTAAATCAGTGACTCAGAAACATTGTCAGTGTCATGGATTTCAAGACATTCCATTGTATGATAGCAAACACATGGCCTTTGTCACTGCAGAAGAAGTTAGCAGTGAACAGAAACTAATTTTGCAACAACGCTTTCATCAGATGTCTAGATCACTTTTTGGTAAAAGGAAAGGAAGACCTGCAAAGACTGCACAATTCATTGTAATTTGTGATATAGCACCTGTCACCCTAAAATAAGTTTAACTGCTTATGCAACCTCTTAACGATTTGCTTCCCTCTCCCAGCTGGGATTTCAGTAAGTGACACAGAAACCATGCTGCAAGGGGAAAGGTCACTTATAGAATTAAACACTTTTTTATAGTAATAATCATATATAATTATGAAGGTAAATAAAATAATTTATCAAGCTGTCTCCTTACTAGTTGGATAATTACAAGGAATATACTCCTTTTCATGACCACAGAGATATTTTAGTGCCTCTTCTTACCTTCCATTTGTAATTATACTGTATCCCATGTCCCTGTTTGGTGTTGATGGTGGCTTGGATCACTAAATAATCAATCCAAAAATAGTCTGAATCCTCAGATATGGAGTCAGATTATTTCTTTGCTTAGCAACAGGCCTTTTATTCTGAAGAGACTATTACTTGTGATTGGCTAGTACATATCAAAGATGAGGATCAATTTACAGGAACCACTGTTAGCATTTCAGGGGAAAGAGCTCTGTAACCTTCTGTTACTGTCTTCCTGACACTGGCCTTGTTTAAATGAAAACTGGCTGAATTTTTTCCTGCAGTTGTATAGTTCTGATGTAAATCTGATGCAGACCAACTGCTGGCATTTCACCATCACCTCAAACAGATCTGTCCTGAGCAGACAGCACAGTGGTAAAAATACTAGTGACTTCTCTACACTCATGTTGCCACAGTTGCAAGCACCTTCACAGTTGCACCTATACTGGGCCAAGAGAGAGAATTCAAAAGCTGCCCATCATAGACAAAGCTTACAAAGGTTTTTGTTTTTTCCCCCTGATGAAGTTGAGGTGAGGGGCCCTTGAGGTAAACATATTCAGCTCCTATTATGTGTTGTGCCTTGCGATGTATGTTCAGTCTTGACTACTCCAGCTTTGCATGCCAATTTGATGCTTGCTGTGTGTTTCTGTTTTAGTGAGGTTTTGCTCAGCTTTATTTCCCGTGTCAAAGAGAGCCTTCAAGGGGTGAGTAATCTAAATTCCAAGCCCAAAACAGAGAGAGGCTGGAAACATTGTAGTATACTAGTTTTCTTATTTTCTAGTTAATGTAATATTTACCTTATTAAAATATTTTAAACAATGTTGATACTATTCCATTAATTTTTCACAACTTCATGCATATGCTGAAATGCACGTGAATAGATTACAGTCTATACATTATTTTTCTAATTTGAATTGGTTATTGCAGATGCAAGCATGCTTGGACAAGTTTGAAGAAATTCTGAATTCAAGAAATAAATCCATTTTGGATGGGCTGGAAGCCATTTCTAAGACATGTAAGCACTTGATGTATTTCTGTTAACAGCAGAGGGCATTATCAAGCTACTGAATGTTAGTGTGCTGTCTCCAAGGCAGGAAGGTCACTGCCAGTGGCTCTTCTTAACAGAGGAAGGAAAGAGGGGGTTTACATAACATTTAGGCATATGGATTTTATTCTTTTACCTATACATACCATCCCAGCCCTCTGCTTATTGTCATTTACTGTTGCATCAAAGGTCTGAAAGGTTAAGACATTAGGCACATCCACGATTCATGATATGACATGATAAACAGTAGAGTATTTGGAGCAAGACTGACAGGTACATTTCAGGCTATCCAAATGTTTACATTCTGAGCATCCATTTTCCAATTTTCAACACTTCCTCAAACCCTCACCTGTTGGTCTCTGGTGGTTTGGGTTTTTTTTTAGATTAAGCAAAAACAGCAAAGCCAGTCTTGAGTAAGAGACAAGTAAGAAGGAGATGCATATTGCCCTTTATAACATTTTCTTGAACATTGCAAAATAGTTGTGCGCTGAAGCTGTTAGTTGTAGAAAGTCTTTCTTGAGGACGGATGTTTCTGAGTGTTTTCAGAGAAAGTTAGGTCTGATTTAGCTGAGCCCTGGGAATTTGAAAAAACACACACATTATCATGTGGATTGGATGTTAATGCTAGCAATATTTTTAAGAATTACCTGCCAGGGTTCCAAAGAGAGTGAGCTTCACCACGCAAGCACAAGAGGCCAGCTTATTGCATACAACTAAGTTGAAGTGGGCTTAAGATTTATTCATTAGATGTAACAGGCTTCTGCAGGAGCATTGCTTCTTTTACTGTAGAGTGAAATGTGGACTAAACATGACAGAGCTCTGAAATTTGCTCTGTCTTATTCACCCGAGGGGGTACTATTGAATTAGATGATTCCTGATTAGTTCTTTACAGAGCAAAATGCACAATAGTTTTCCTGTTTGAAAATACTGCGGACTTGATTCTCAATTTACTGATCCCTTTACATTGCTTAGTCAGCATGAAGTGGTACTGAAGGGATCTTAGCATAAATGAGAATCAGCCTGTTATGTTCACCGCAACTAGTTTGCCTCTGGTGAAGGGCAGAATCCAGATTAGCCTCCTAGGCTCCCTTCCTTACCTGCCACAAAGCCAAAAATGTAGGTGCCTGGCCCCAAGAGTTTTCCTTCTGGCAGGCTGTACAGTCAGTGGGGAAAGGTACATGGCTCTGAAGAGTGTCTAGAACCAGTCAATAAGAAACAGAGGCATACAGACAGTTTTTGTGTCCTGGGAAATGGCAGTGACCACCAGTCTTGCACCCTTTAGTGCCCTGCTTTCCCACCCCTACTTAGTACTTACACTACTGAGTGATAAGAAATGCTAGGCACAGGGGTGTGCCTGAGTTCTTGCCCCTCTCCAAAGCACAGGCAGATGCTGCCAGACATCTCTTCCTTCTGTGTCCAGAGGACCTGTTCCCTGTTCTGAGGGCAGAGGCCTAACTCACTAGAAGCATGGTGTTACCATTCACCTTTTGCATAATTGCCTAGTAGTTAGAGTATAAATGTTGCTTCACTTGCACTACACTGAGTAATAATATGGAAATTGTCCACAGAGAACAGAACATCCTTGCAAGTGTTTGTTAGAGAGAAAAGCAGAGAAGCAGTTTTCAGAACAAGATGCTATTTGCAGTCTCGAACTATTTAAATTATACGGGCACACAGCCTGACATGGCATTTTGCAGTTAGTATTGGCATTATATGAAAAGAGATTGAAAAGACTGAAATTGTTACCTTGGAAAGGAAATCAAAAGAATTGCCAGACTCAAAGCAGCCCAGGTCTGATCAGTCTGGTAATTCCTATGGCTATATCACTGGGGTTCAGTTCAGGTGGTAAATTTCAGTTCATCCCCTTTCTTGCATACTGGGGTGTCCCTATTCACTGCCTTTAGGAAAAATGTATTGTTCTCCTGAACTCGGTCACCCCTTGAATCTCAGCAGATTTGTACCACCTTACACTTCCGCTTCTGAATTTGGTAGGGACAAAGAAGCCTCCCACAAAGAGACTGACATTTAAAAGCCTATAGGCTACCAGAGCTGACCCCAGAAAGAATTGTATATGTGTCTGTGATGGATAGGGAGGCAGCAGAAGACAGGTCATTGTATATTTTTTTCACTATGTTGGAAAAATGATGCTGTGATCCCACAACTGCAGAGTACAGTGTTTCAGAATGTGGTCTCAGATAAAGAGAGAAATGAATTAGCTGATTTTGCCCTGTCTGTATGAGTTCTTTGAAGAATAGCTTATAATGGAACATGTCCAGCTGCTGTCTGCCTTGTTTCTCTATGACATGCTTACAGTGCTGGCAACTCATTTAATAGACATATGCGCTATTAGCATAACTTAAGAGAATTCAGAGCATTTATATGGAGGATGAACACATCCATAACAATGTGAGGTGAGGTAGAAATAGCTTTAGAGGAGATAGCAGTCCTTATGCTACAGGTACAAGCCAGCTGTTAACTGAGAGAAGATAGGAAGGCACAGCTTCTGTGGTTATTCAATAATTCTCTGCTACAAGCCTTCTTGGAATATCTTGCCCACTGCTGGAAACAAGACACTAGAATACACAGCCCCCTAGGCTGATCCAGCTGGGCATCCTCATGTTCAGTATTCTAGCAGCAGTCTTACCAACACTTGTACAGAGACAAGATCAGTCACCTCCTCCTACTTGATACCTCCCTTTTCTTAGAGTAATAGAAAAATAGAGCTGGAAGGGACCTCAGGAGGTCAGCTACTCCAACCCCATGCACCCCCTTATACATCCAAGGATCACAGTAGCCACAACCTTACTCCGAGAATTCATTTTAGGCAAGAATTCATTTTAGGCAGCTGTCTGCAGTGATCCCATGCCCTTTTCTGCGTCACTGATTTCCAAGATCAAAATCTTCTATCCTGAAGACACAGAACACATTCTTTGTTCCCAGGTGCCTTTGGCTGTATTTAAACTTACTCTGTTGGACTGTGAACATTTAACCAGGCAATTCAGATTGTGCTGTAAAAGTAATCTGTCATTATTGACTCCCCAACCAAGCTTTGTTACCTGCCAGATCAAGCAGTAAGGATTCTATACCGTCACCTAGCTCTTTGATACAACCAGTAAATAGTGTTGCACCAAGAACCAGTCCCTGCAGGATTCCTTTTGCAATAGCCCTGCTTACTGATGTCTGTGCTAACAGCTACATTTTGAGAGGCTAGTGGGCCAGTTTTTAATCCAGATAACATGTACTCTGTTAGTTTCATATCGTGCAAGTTTTTAATCATGGTGTCATATGGTACTAAGTCAAACATCATCTAGAAAGCCAAGTAGACTATAACAGCACAGTTCCTTATATCAAACAGACCTAGAATCGTGTAAAACCAGTAAGAAAGGTTTGTTTGACAAGACCATTTTGAATGGAATTAATTGTATTTTAACCTCAAATTTGGTGTTTACAAAGTCCCTCAATAAACCTCTCCACTATGTTATGGGGGATGAGTGTTAGGTTAACTAGGCTGTATGTCCCTGGGTCCCTCTGACTAGCTTTGAATTTCAGAATTATGTTGTTGGCCCTCCAGTCATTTGGAATTTCCCCAGTTTTCCAAGATTTGTTAGAAATTAACATTTGTAGTTCAAAATGTTCCTTAGCTAGTTCCTTTAAGACTCTTGGATGTCAAAGTTATCTAGGCCAGGTGATTTGAGAATGTCAAATTTTAGCAGGTGCTGCTTTAAATCCTCCATTTTTATACAAAGCTAAGCTTTTCATTCCACGCACAACATCACTGAGATGCATCCTCCTGAATCAATCAGAAATATCTGTTTGTGCATCACCCTTTAGGATTTTACCAAGAGAATGCAGCTTTGCTGTGAGCTTATCTAGGAATCTTCATCTGCATTCTTATTTCAGATTTCAGTCTGTAATCCTGTGCTGTAGTGTATTAGTCATTACTAATAATGGGAATTATAGTAAAAATAATGAAAGTGGTGTGGGGGAGGTTATATTATTTTCCAAGAAACTCAACTCAAACACATTGTGCAAGTTTTTAATTAAGCTCCTGCTTTTGATGAGTTTTCAGCAAGATTGACTGTGGTCAAGTGACCTGCCCAAAGTTCTGCAATTAGATGTAGAGCCCTAAAAATGTATGTGATTTGCACTAAATTTTGCACCCTGTAGTCTACCAGTCTGGTGATCTAGGAGATTTTAATTCAGAAGTCACTGTGATCACACAGCATGGAAGACCATATCATTTTAAACCCAGGAGGGAAGTATCAGGTAGTGTTTTATTCATAATTACAAATTAAAAGACTAAATGCAGTTTTTTATTGATTTTCATGTTCAGTACAAGATGCTGCTCAGTCCCACTATGGATTGGTGCTGAATGCTCTTGCAGACAAAAGGCAGATGGAGCAGATGTTACTGGAGATGGAGCAGAGACTTGCAGCTGTAAGTGAAGAGAGCAGTCAGTTGTCCAATCTTCATCCTGAAATTCTTTTATTTCTTCAAACATACTAACCCAGCATTAGAATATGTCTTCATGTAATGGATTATAAAGGTGAAGGTTGCAATTTAAATTGAGGGAAAATTATATATTAAAATGCTAATTTGAGGCTAACCCACTGGTGCACTAATAGTGTATTATGCTGCCATACAGAGATCCAAGCCTGAGAACTGATCATTATGTTTGGACCCCAGATAGCAGGCGCTGTCTTCACAGTCTTCCCCATTTCCTGATGATGGCAGGAGGCAGTATCCTGGAAGGGACAGGATTCTGACTGGATGGAAAATACTGAGGCAGTGCCTCCCTGGTAAAGAGGGATGGGCTTGCTTCTCGTAGAAAGTCAGTCCGGTGACCCATCGGGTCAAATGAACCCCAGTGGGAAAAGAAAAGGCCTTAAAGGGAGTGGAATCTACCTTGTCCTAATGGTGCAAGATTGAAATCTGTAACTTAGGCTGTCTAGATGGATCTAGGTTCCAGGGCAGGTCCACTATATGACCTTATTTGTTGACTAGGGGTAAGCTACAGGAAGAAGAAAGGGGCATCTGTACAAAGGTAGGGAGACACTGGGGCATGCCCACCACTCACAGTGTCACATTTGACTAACAATTGGAAAGACTGTCCCTACAGAGATCTAGTAGACTGCTGATGTGGGGGTCAATATGAAGATTAAGAGTATCATCTGATATTTTGGGTAAATGTGTATCTTTTATTAGACCAGCTAAATAGTTGGAAAAATTGTTCTGTACAAGCTTTCAGGCACAACTACCCTTCTTCAGGCACAGGGAGACTGCGGGTGTTTTGTGTGCTCTGCTGGTGTCCCAGTTTGAATACTATTGTTACCGTTCATAATGTGTTGCCTAATATTTCTCCTCTGCTGAATGGTTTCCCCAGAAAGATGTGGAGATTTTAGACATGAAATCCAATTGGCAGTTACTGAAGGAGAGTCTGGAACTATTAACAGCTCAGCAGAATGAGCAGCACATGAAGCTATGCGAACAGTTGGGCTGTCTACAGTTCCCCAACATCTTGACTGAACTGCAGACATTCATTTCCACTTCCAGATTGCCAAGCCACATACAGGATAACACTTCTCAGACCTCCCCATCTATGTTCCAGGATCTCTTTCTTAGTCAGGGGAAAACATGCCATCAGTGCTATCAAACCACAAGGGTTTGCAGGATAGCTTCCTTTCAGACTCAGCCGCACACCATGACAATGCTGAACCAGCCTGACGACTCCAACAGGGAAATAGCTGGAGATGATACACACAGGAGTGATTCAAACACAAGTTCTGGAAGAAAGGCTGGTCCCATTACTGCAGCTTTACAAGACAAAGAAAATGTGACTATTCAAGAGGCAAAGTCTGCTTTAGAAAGGCATGCCTATGCTAACAAACCACGTTGTGCCTGCTGCTGCAGCACTGGCATTTCAAGGGCTAGTCACCAGAAACACCAGCTGCTTCCCCAAGAAAAATCCTGTACCACACCACTGAGGAAGGCAGGCGGGAAAGAATTTAAGGGAACCAAAGCTGTGACTCGTGCACAAGAGAATCAGAGCCACATTTGCTTCAGTCCTGTACAAAACTACATGGCTGAACAAACAGACAAGGCCACAGGCCACATCATGATGCAAAAGGCACCTCTAGGAAATAGGCTGAAAAAGGAGAAGTCAAAACAAAACCACCGAAGCAAAGTAACAGTGTGGAAAAGAATGTATTTTAGTAAGAAAAAAGGAGAATTTTCCAAGTGTCCTGACAATGGACTGAAGAAAAAAATGACAAATGGCTGCATGGAGCAGGAGGACTCTGGAAAAAATGGCAAGCCCCAAGATACAATTACTCTTCAGCCAGAGAACTCTGCTGAGGGGTCCTCAGCTCCCAGCCAACAAAAGCTAAGCAGGGCCCCACATAGGAAGAGTGAGGACTGTTTGCCAGTGCTACACTCCCATGAAAACATGGAAGTGCCTGCAGCCAGGAGAAAGGGGACGCTGGAAAGCAAGAACGGCATGGGCATTTTCAGTGCCAGCAGGAATCCATCTTTGTGGGATTCCTCCTCTCAAGAAAGTTCATTTTCACTCTATAACTTGAAAGATGAAAAGCAGAGGAGCTTGTTCAGCCTCCCAAGCTCCACAGGTTCTGCCAAGTCCTGTCTTTCCGTTTCACTAGCCCAGCAAAAGACTATGACATTTTGCTCCTTAACTTTTGATAGTGATTATTCCGACTGACATGTTCCAGTTGATTTTCGAGGTGCGTTATGCAAGTGTAGCTATTTCAGTCACAATTTATTTCTTCAGGTCTGTTGTCATTTTAATTCCTTGATTTATTTGACTCTGGGTGTTGCATATAACTGTGCAAACTGCACTGTGGGGCTGTCTGTGAAGCAATGAGTTTTTTTCATGAACATGGCGGCCTTCTGGCAGTAGGCAAAAAGGAGTCATCCCTAATTTGCTTTAAAATGTTATTGCCAAGCTTTATGTGTAGAAGGGATCATACACTGCTTATTCTGCTGAAAATGAGGTTTGAGGGAAGGATTTCTTTTGGCCTGAGAAGGAGGATGTGCTCATTATTATTTCATCTCTCTGCTCTTAGCAGAAATACTGTTGTTTTCTCATAGTTGTCATTCATCTTTAACAGAAGAAGATATGTGGGTGCTTGCCTAGATTGCTGTTAGAGAGAGCAATACCAGCAGGGCACCAGGAGCACATCTAAGTCTGTTATAATATTTAAATCTATTTGAAACTTTTAAATAAAATATATATGTAATAAGATGTCTGCAGCCTGGGGCTTTCATGTTATTTTTGTACCAGTTCCTGTGGCTCACGGTTCAAATCTTTGGCCTATTTAAGTTAATGGGCATTTTATGATTGATTTCAACAGAGTTTAGATTTGGCACAAGGCTTCTTGCATCACTGTGGGTAAATGCCCATTGTGTGAGAAAAACAGAACCCTAACATCTTGTTACATTCACCAGCTCCAGCATTTCTTTTCCTTTCAGGCAGTTTTTTCTGGTCATGTTACTGAATTTCAGCCTTATTTGTCTCATCTGTATCTCTTAGCTAATCAAGAACTTCACCCTATAGGTTTCTAGTGTGTTAACATCTCAACGAAAAGCCTAAAAAGGTGGCATCTATAATCATACAAGCTGCAAATGAAAAATCATTTATGTCTTGTAATCTTCTTTTAAAACTCTAAGTATTTCTAATTAACAGGACTGTAAAATGTGTAGATCAAAGGTCAGAAGGTATCAATGTGATCAACTACTGTTATGAATACAAATGGACTAATATTGTTATCCCAAAGTAAAAGACCTTCCTTATCTTTGTCTGGATTATAAAGTCCAATATTTCTTCACTTTGGCTAGTTTCTATAGAATGATTTCAGGGGACAGTCTAGTGATCTATTTTGGTGAAGCAACAAACAGTTTTTGTCTAGCTAATGTTTTTCCAAGCATTATTATTTAGCTGAAATTTAAAGAAATGAGGTAACATCACTTTTTCCCGTTTATACATTTTGTTCAGAAAGGCTGTAGCTTGCGAAAACGCATGACTCTCTGAGCAAGTTAAGTCCATAAGGTGCCCCCGTGCCCTGCCTTCTGTTTCTTAGGAAGTGACAGACAGTAACATGGATCAGCAGATGGGGGAGTCTCCAAATTCTTGGCTGTTCTAAGGAATGTTGGTATGGTATCTATGATGTGGGCCTCTAGCACCCCTGTAACACGTCCCCTGTGCACACATGTGACTGCTGTCAGTCACATACAGGCCGTCACACAAGGCTGCCTAGTGGTGGTCAGCAGAACAGTGGTACGTACCATGGGCAGCTGACATCTCTGTGGAAACTGCTCTTTCCAGTCCCTACTGACTTTGTTAGCCAGATTTCAGAACCAGTGCTGCCCCCATCCTCTTTGTCCTGTGAATGGCCTACACATCATCTCTGGGTAATGTCATCCATAAACATGCATTCAACTACCATTGCTATGTAGATGTCTCACAGAGCCTCATGTCTGCTCCTGACTGCTCTTCTGTCTGCACTAAAACTTGAGCCTGCCTCTGCTGTCTCCCTGTGGAGGCTAGAAATCTGTGCAAGTTCAACATGGCTACAGTAGATCTCTAACTTCTCCCCACCTTAGGCCTCACCTCCTTTAATTACCATAAGCAACATCCCTGTCCCACCTTGTGCCTTGGATTCAATCTGTGCATCATCTTTGATGCAGACCTCTTGCTGGGGTTTCACTTCTAGGCTGCATCTACGCAATCCTAAGACACAGACTTTCCTACCCAGCCATGCAACTGGCTCATCACCCCATACCTCAGGGACTGCAGCACCCTTTTCTCCAGCCTGGACACCTGGAATCTTGCCTTGCAGGTGCCTCTCCAGACTGCTGCTGGAAGAATCATTCTCCTGGCCTCCCGCTTTGTCCATGTCACCTGGCCCCCATGCATCCCTCCCCCCATTTCCAGCCCACTAGCAGAAGCTACTTGTCTTCCCTGTCATGGCCCTCCCTGCCACCTTGCATTCAGTACTGAGATGTTGAACCCCGTGTCAGATTGGCCTGGGTCCCTGCCTTTGTCACCCACTGGCTGCGTTTCCAAACAAGCCCTTCTCGCTTCCACCCACGCTTAGGAGAAGCTCCCTGTAAACATCCACAAAGCCTCCTTGTCCTCCTCCAAATGCCTTCTTAAAACCGGCTGCTGCTTTGTTGCCTTCAAAAACTTGACAGCAGCTGGGTGGCTGGTGCACTGAGCCCACTGCCTGTCAAGCTGACTAATACTGTCTCCTTGCTTCCTTGTGCTCCCCCCCAGTCTGTCTGCATCCATCTGTTGTCTCTGCTCTTTTACACTCTGAGGAAGGGATTGGCTTTTGTTCCAGGCTTGTACAGCACCTGGCACAAAAGGTCCTGCCCATGACTAAGGCCTTAGGTGCCACAGTATTAGCAATAAGATTTACAGTGAAAAACAGAGAGGTGGGGCTGAGATGGTCCAGATACGTTGTACTAAAGGCCTCAATCTGTTCTTAATGTCTCTTAGCCATTCATGCTGTTCACTGGGGTGGGATGAACCTTTTGATTACACCCTGATGTGAAAAAGAAACAGCTCAATCACACTGCTTAGTCTTTCCCCCACAGTGGAAGAGACCAGCTAAGTCCTGTGTGTGGTAGTGCATTTTAACTATTCTAGACTACCCAGTTTTTGTAGGCCAGTCTGTGGAATCACTGCTCAGACTCTGGTTGAGGAAGCGTGCTCTATTTCTTGGGAGGTTTCATGTCATTTGTTCACATTTTGGAGTGCACTGTTCCAGCAGGCAGGCTTGGCCAGTGTGCATTGCTACACATGCCTGCCTCTGCAGCCTTGCAGTTAAGATGGAAGACAGTGGTGGGGGCTGGCAGTGCCCCAACAGGTTGGTCAAGAGCATGGAAAGGTTGCTTTTTCTCAAACCACGCTTGGCAGTGAAGAAATTCTCCTGTTTTTAAACGAGTCCTTGAAATTCAGGTCATATGAAGGATGATGTTGATTTTTTATGCTCTCTTGCACAACAATGGCACTGCGGGGATTTTCCCACTTTTTCTGTGTTTGTTTTTTTTTTTTTTTGTATTCCTGTCTTTGTAATTCAGGATTTATTTATACTGTTGACTTCTTTGATCATAGCTTTCAGGCCTTGGTGTCTGGTCTTCTTCCTGAATTACTTCTACGCTTCAGTTTCATTAGCATTTTTTTCTCACTTTGGAAGCCCTTTCCTTATTCATATAAGGAGTTTACAGAGAGAAGGGTCGTTGTGAGCACCTAGCCTGACCTGCTTCAGGCAGCAAGTGAATTCCATTCAGAAGAGCTTGCATAAAGTCAGCACGCTTCAGGTAGGGCTATAGCAGATATTCTAGAGATAGCAAAGGTTTCAAATGGTAGAGCTTCTGAACCTTGTTTCTTTACTTGTCTGCTATTTGCATCTCAAACCAGCCATTCCACAGTTTTGCCTGGCATTTATGTCAAGCTAGCCAGCCTATAACCTTCCCCTTTAGAACTGATCTTCTGTCCTGTTCATTCCCCTTTTCTGGGCTAGTTGAGAACATCGCATTATGACTTACCATTGTACCAGGGTCTCACACAACCCAACGCAGTAACATCCAGGAACAAACAGTATGCACAAAACAGACAATTGAGCTCTAGTCTTCTTTCAAAAGTCCAAGTATTTCTTATTCATAGTGATTCAAAAGTATTGTTTATTAATTCAGAAGGTTGCCACTGGGTTTTTATTGGAACGGTCTTCTAGCTAGCACAGAGAAAGGAAATAATGGTAGAGAAGGTAAAGCACCTTTTGGAAATAGGAACAGCCACGTAGTATCTAATTCAAAAGAAGCCATTTTAAGTGAGGGGTAGAACTGACAGTGGAAAGCACAGCTCCTTCATCCTTCCTTGTGGATTCAGGGTTATTTAGACTCACACAGGAGATGCTTTTTGCCCAGGAAGGAAGCTTAAATCTTAGATAACATAATCCTTCATTTATTAATTGACAGTGGCAGTGACTTAACTACTGACAAAGTTCTGTAGGGTGGATTTGTTCCCACAGGAGTGAGGGGCACTTTCCTCGCTCCCCTCCTACTCTCTGCAGAAGGAGCTGCCATGTCTATGAAAGGAGTTTACGGACCCTTTCGGGATCGTGACTGCCATACATTTGTTCAGAGTTAAAAACCAGCTCCCTCCTGCCTTAGCAAATTAGTCTCATGATTAGTCTCTCCTGATCCTGAGTCATGGGATGGAGCAGGCACCTGGGGCTCCCCAGAGAAAGCAGCAAGCTGGGTCCAATGTGAGACCCCAGGATTGCTGAGAGCAGTGGGGAGGCCTCAGGACCTGACTTACCTGAGCCAGGGCTGGAGGAGGCTGGAGCTGGGGGGCAGCATCAGGACTCAATGCTGAACCCACTGGAGCAGGCTGGCAGCAGGGGGGGCAGAGGCATGGTTTGCCAGCTGGCTCATCTGAGCTGGAGCCAGAGGGTGGGGGGCAAAGGAAACTGCCAAGGGACAGAGCATGACAGAGACTGCTTCTGTGGGGAGCTCCGCTGGGGGTGTCCCCCTCCTAAGAGCTTAGCTGCATGGAAGGGAGCAGATCCTGTGCTGACAGGGAGCTCGGATCAGGGTATCAGTGTTCTGGTCTTTTGCTCAGCAAGTGGATTCACACCAGGGACTGGCCCACTTCAGTGCTGGCCTGCCTTTCATTCCGGTCTTTTGCAGTAGCTTCCAGGCATGATGCAGCACCAAGCTGTGTGGGGTCCCCTGGGAGAGGGGCCATGTGTGGGCCTGCCCTGCTGCCTCGGGGCACAGGCACATACACAGCTGGTGCCCTGAGCTGTAGTACACCTGCAGAGCTCCTCCCGCCTTGTCTCATCACCAAGCAGCCATACCTCCGTTACGTTTCCATGGCAATATGCATATAAAGGCCATTCTTTTGATTCTAGGGACTCAAGTAAAACAAGGAAACAAAATGGCACAATGCAAAAACATGTTTAAGGGCGTCAGTGTCGAAGGTTGCGTGCTCTGTGGGGTCCAGGCGGTCTCCTGCACCGAGCTAGGCCAGTCACACACACAACACTGAGGTCACACCAACAGGCCACATGTTCCCACTGAAGGGCCTGGCAACAGACTGAGGACGAGCCCCTGGGACGCCGCCGTCCCTCCCACCTTGCAGGGCTACTGAGGCTGGCGCCACAGAGATGCTCTTGTGAAGAGCTGCCTGGGAGGAGACAGTGTTTGGGGGAACAATGTCAGAGCCCAGGAGAAGCCAGGCCTGATCCTTCCAGGGACCTGAGCTCCTCTGAGGAGCTGGGGTCAGAACCCAGCCACCGACAAGTCTGTGCACCATCACTAATAGCAGCGCTGTGCTGGAGGCAGTGCAGGCCCTTCCGTGGGTCAATCGCTATGCTGGCAGGCAGCTGCCGGGAGAAGGCGCGGGCGTGTGGGCTTTGTTTCTGACGGCCTCGCCTAAGCTTGTTGCATGGTTACAGGAGCCTGGTGTCCTGCCGCAGTGATGCCTACGAGTGCATGCTCCCCACTAAAGATACATGCCTGGCTAGGGGTGCTCTTCAGTGGCTGTGTGGGGCCATGGCCAGTCCCTACACCTGGTCTCTAGCCTGCACAGCCTGTGGCATCAGCCCCGTTTCTGGGGAGTGCGGAGCATCTCAGGCACCCCGGCTGCAGAGGAATGTGCTGCTGTGGCTCCAGGAAGGTGTGATGGAGACCTTCCCTCAGCCCCCCACCCCTGCCAGCCTTGCAGGAGGCTCCCAGCTGGTGCCCGGTGCTGTAGGCTCAGGACCCAGCAAGCCTCCTCTCCAGCTCAGCGTCTGAGCATGTGCTTGAGATGAGCAGAACGAGGCCGGCAGGCAGATGCGGCTCCTGGATGAGAGCAGGGTCAAGAAGCGTTTTGCTGCCTCTTCCTGGATGGTGGGAAGTGGTGACTCCACCGGGGCCCTGCCCCAGTCTCTGGCCTGCAGCCCCGTGCTCCCTGAGGTTGGACCAGCACTGCCACCTGCTGGGCCACAGCTCCCATAGCTCACCTGACATGTCTGCCTGGTGGGGCTTAGTGCCTGGCAGGATTCGCTCCAGCGCTGCCCTGCTGCACCTGTCAACATGAAATGCATCTTCAGAAGAGGCCCCGGGTATGAGCTGGGTGATCAAAGTCACAGCCTGCTCTGATCTGTCATTCCCGTGGGGAGCAGCATCATTAATGCATCAAGCTTCTGATTCATCAGATGGGGGATCCGCCAAACCCAGAGCCCACGTGCACAAAACAGGATCCCAAACACCGACCCTCAAGCGACTCCATTCCCTCCCAGCTCCAAGCTGCCACCTCCTGCCCGACTCAGACGTATTCCCAAAGCCCCAGCTCCTGGAATCCTGTGACTCAGACTGTCTCAGCCTTCATCGAAGGACAGGAAGTGAAAGCACTTGTGCCCTCTCACTTGTGCCAGACACTCAGTGAATCTGCCCATGGCAGCTTGTGTCGGTGTCTTGTTACCAGTGTCGAGGAAACTGAATGTAATTTATGCGCCACGTGTGTGAGTGCCTTGATTTTGTATCCTGCGCCCAGGGCTGGACCGAGTCGGCAGAAAGCTGCGGTGTGAGCGAAGGAAGGCGTTGCTAGGGCAGGGTGTGCTGAGAATGAGACATGGGAGGGGTCGGCAGGGCTCATGCAGCATGAAAGTGGGGGAGCAGCAGCCAGGAGTGCCCTTTGTGAGCCTCTGGGCGCCACTGCAGAAGCAAGAACAAGCCACAAAGCGAGGGACATGGGTCTCTGGTCTGGAAAGAGAAGACACATGGGTGAGTTGCAGGCCTGCCGGCTCCACAGGCCCACTGCCCTCATCCCTGCTTTAAGAGTGTATTTCCATGTGCCCCCCGTGGTACCAGGGGTGGTGGTTCTGCCTGGTATTGAGCTCTGGCTTCTTCCCCAGACCCAAGGAAGGTCACTTCATGCCCAGGGGGTGTCTAACTTCTTTCCCGACTGTACAGCTGGTTCAGTTTAAGGGATCACCAAACATGCCCAGGTGCAGAGGGCAGGCACCCCAGGAAAGATGGGACAAGCGTCCTGGGGAGATACAGGGACTGCTGGAGCTGCCAGCGCAGGGCGGCCAGACTGGCTCCTGGCTGGCCCTGCTGTGGGTGTTCTGACCACGCGCTCGTAGGTGCAGCTACTGTTCATGGCTGTGACCAGCCCCCATGGTTCAGAGAAGCCAGCGATGCCCCCACATGCTGCTGATCCTCAGAGCTGCCCACTTTGGCATGTAATGACGGGGTTTTGCAGGATTGCTGGTGGCCGCAGCCACACAGCAGCACCAGAGCGTGAGTCCCAGCTGGCAGGGGCATACCTGTGTGCCTGTGCTTCTGGCTGTTCCTTTGTGCTGCCCAGTGGACGTGTGCATGTGTCCGTGTCAGCATCTTCATCTGTGCTAGAAGTGCTGCGAACAGCTGCATTTTCCTGGGCCCTGCGCTCCCTGCCTGAGCCTCTGCCGCAAGGCTCCCATGCTTCCTGCAGAGCCCTTCCTGCCTGGCCTGGGCAGCCCAGCCCTGGTGCAGCACCACCACGTGGTCCCTGTGGCTGGACATGGGAGCGGCGGGACCCGGGGGCTCTGGTGCCAGCTAGGCGCCACTCACATGGCAAGCACGAGGGCTGAGGAGCCGGGCTGCCTGCCTGCTGCTCAGGTCCCACCCCTGTCAGGCCAGGGGCGATGCATGCTTCTCGCAGGGGCTGTGTGCGCCGGTGCACAAGGCCATGGCCCCGTGCCCTGTTGCAGCCAGCGGGATGTGCTCGTTCCCCATGCCATAGTTGTCGATGCTCTTGCGGCATTTCCACTTGGCTCCACTTGGCTGCCCAGACATGCGGCTTGCAGGAGCTGCCGTCTGCTGCCATTGGTGTGTGTGTGGCTGCAGCTCCCCCGGGGGAATCCACTGGGAGGGGAAGAATGGGGCTCTTGTGCCATGGGGGCCCCCATGAGAGCAGCGCAGCTGAGAGGGGATGCTCAGGCACCAGTGTGTGGGCTGCAGAGCAGTTGCCTGTGCTGCTGTGACACTGGTGGGGGCACGGGGGCCCCGGGCTCCTCTTGCCCAGCCCAGCTCTTGGCACAGAAGCAGCTGAGCCTCCCCCACAGGGGTGTGGCTGGAGCTGGCCCAGTCCCAGGGCTCTGGCCTCTGGCACACCTGTCCTCCCACGAGCTCGGCAGGGCGGTGCCTGGTGCAGACCCTGGGGACAAGGGCGCAGGTGCTGCAGGTGCCAGTTGTGGGGCCAGGCCCAGTCACGATGGTGCTGGGCGAGGTCACCCCGTCCCGGCTCCACCCGCAGCTCGCCTCAGCCCGGCCCCGGCCCCGGCCCCGGCCCCGGCCCGAGGGGGCAGGTGCTCGGCGCCGGGGCTGGGCTCTGGGCC